GGAGTAAGTTTAGATCTATGAAGAGTGGGGGGGGGGGGCGTGTTGCCAGGGATGGGATTTAGTGATTATTCTTACTGCGGCTTTTTGTTGGGTTATTATTGGCTTTAGGTGTGTTGCTGCAGTTGAACCCCAAGCACAGCATAGGTGAGGTATGGATATATAAGTGAATGGTATAGTGTGAGAAGGGCAGTTTGCGGCACATAGTATCGTATCTTGGAGAGGATCCCAACCGTTTTGGATACTTTTTTGGTTATGTGTTGGATATGGGTGCTGAAGTTCAGGTTGTTGTCGAGGTATAGGCCTAGGAATTTGCCCTCATTATGTCTGGCAATTAGAGTGTTGTCGATCTTAATGTTAATTTGCGCATCTCCTGCTCTGCTACCAGACATAATGTAGTAGGTTTTGTCAACGTTAAGCATAAGTTTATTGGCTGTCATCCAAGTCGATATTTTGATCAGCTCCTCATTAACAATGGTGTTGAGGGTGGCAAGATTAGGGTGAGAGATGACATAAGTCGTGTCATCAGCAAAGAGAATACGGTTCAGGTGTCGAGATACGTTTGGAAGATCATTGATGCATATGAGGAAGAGCAGGGGACCAAGGACACTTCCCTGCGGAACTCCAGTATCAAGTGGCTGTGTTGTTGATGCTGTGTCTTTAACCCTTTCAGGGTCCGTCCCGTAGATCTACGGCTTTACGTTCAGGGTCCAAACCGTAGATCTACGTCATGAGCTCAGCTCACTCCGATAAACTGTGAGTGGTAAATTTGGGCCAAGATATGAGAGAATACATCTATGTGGTATGTGTGCACCACATAAAACAAATCCTGCAGCACACTGTGTATAATGAGAGGAAAAAAACTGAGACCGTGATTTTCGATTAAAACAGCGACTTTGCAGTGTTTTTTCGTATGTTTTTTATAGTTGTATTTGTGATTTCTTGGTCTCATTTGATAGAATGGAAGACATATTACAGAAATAGAGATAATTTTGATTGGTTTTAGCACTGGAAATGGCTTGAAACTGAGCTCAAATTGGCGGAAATGTTAAATTTTTGCTGATGTTCAAGAGTAAACAAACGACCTCACACGTCTAATACACGCTAGCTGGTCGGTCTAATATACATTCATAAATGTGGTGATGATATTTATACAATTATTACAATATTGCATAACAGTAAATCTTCTATTTTTTGGTGTGAATAAAAATTCATTATGTGAATAAAAAATCAAAATGGAATTTATTTGTAAAGCCTCAAAACGTAACTAATGAACAGAGGAAATGTTAGTTTAGTGCCAGGAAGACCTACATTGTTTATTCTGGATCCTATTTTGAAATTGGAATATTTTGAACTTTGTGTTAAATTGGCCAAATTACCAATTTCCGGTCACTTTATTTTGTAGTTGAAACAGTTGACTTGGCGATTTCTTGTGCTCAATCGATAGAATAGAAGTAATCCTAGTGAAATAGCTAAGAATTTGGTCGACTGGAATAATGTAATTGGCCTAAAATGGGAGTCAAAGTCGGCAAAATCGCCGATTCGTAAATATCACGAGAGCATTCATGAGAGCATAATTTCGTCAATTTCCCATCAAATTTCGTACTTTTTGTTTTATTACATTCACAAAAAGATTCTCTACCATTTCATAAGAAAAAAATAATTTTTTTTTTTTGAAAATTCTTGGACACTGGGGCACCACTTCAGATTTTGGCCTTGGACCCTGAAAGGGTTAATGGTGACATACTGATACCTATTAGTAAGGTAAGATTTGAAATATGCAAGTGCATGGCCTCTTATACCATAATGGTCAAGTTTGTGGAGTAGGATGCCGTGGTCTACTATGTCAAAAGCTATTCTTAGGTCAATAAAAATTCCTAGTGGATATTCCTTATTTTCCAATGCTGTGTAAAGCAGATCTAGCATTTTTATGATTGCATCGTTAGTGCTTTTATTTTTCCTGAATCCAAATTGGCAGGGGTTGAGTATGTTTTGTGCCGTTATAAATGAATATAGTCTCCTGTGCACGAGTTTCTCAAAGATTTTGGATAGCAAAAGGTAAGTTTGATATTGGCCTATAGTTGTTTAAATCTGTAGGGTCACCACCCCTTTTTATTGGTGTAACCTTGCCGTCTTGAGTAATTTCGGGAAGGTGCTAGTTTCTAGTGACTTGTTAAAAAGTAATGAGATAATAAGGGGAGAGGACATGGGCCACTCTCTTGTACAATAATGGTGGGACATGAGTCAGATTCCCTGAGTTATTTTTAAGAGACTTTATAATCTCGGGGACTTCCGTTGGGGTCAGTTGGAGCAAGATAGAAGGAATTTGGGGAAATTCCCATCTAGGTAGTCCCCGGCCCTGGGCATTGGTACGTGGGATTTTATTGGCGAGATTAGAACCTATGGTTTGAGAAGAAGGCGTTTACTGTTAGCTGTGTCAGTGGGGTTTTCAGTGGTGTTTTCATTAGGTTTAGTTTGGACATATTCTTGGTTTTTTCAGTTTGTGGGTCCCTAGAGTCTGAGAGAGTGTTTTCCAGGTCTTTTTATATCCCCTCTTGTGTCAGTGAAACTACGGGAGTAGTATATTGTTTGGCTTTTTTTATTATTTGGTGAGACTGATGAATAGTTTTTAAAAAAATTTGTGTATTAAGCCCGTCTATATTGCTTTTATTTTGGGTGTTTCTTATCAATGGATTTCAGAAGGGTGCTGGTTGGGGCCATGGGCAACCAAGCCGTTTTTTTTGGATCTGTTTCGTTTTTATGGGAAAGTTTTTGTATAGTCTAAGTTTTTTTGTTAAAAAAATGTCTCCCCAGCCCAAAATACCATGCCTTTAGAAAATTTGTAGGCCATCAACAGTTCTAGGTCAGCTTTGAACCCCTTATTGAGGCCCCATGGGTCTAAATGAACTTTTTTGTATTCAAGGGGTAGTTTACTAATTTCTTGTCAAGGGGAAGGTAGGGTGGGGGTCTGATGCTATGTGTGATTATCCCTGATTTAAGGGGGGCTAGATATTGGCCATAATGGTCTATTTATTTGCACTTGTTTCAGTGACCTGGTTGGTTTTAGTTATTTTTGGTAGGGAAAAGTGTTTGTTCAATTGTTGATGAAATCATTTTAGGGGTGATCATCTATGGGCCAAGTTATGTTGAAGTCTCCAGCTAGAGAAGGGGGTGCTTTTTCATTTTGTCGTTTTTTTATTAGTCCTTTAATTTCTCACTGAATTTTGGGATTTTGTGTGGGGTACCCGGTAATGGCACCGATTGTTATGGGCGCTTAAGGTTTTTTACAGTAAAAAGAAAATGCATTCTCCATATTCATCACTAAAGCAATTAGTGCTAAAAAAAGATAATTGGTTTAGAAAATAGATTGAAAACCCACCCCCAATTTGGGTATGGTCTGCAGTTGGGGTTGCTGTGTACCGGTGAGGGTGATATCTTTGTGTCCGTTTAAAGCCAGGTCTCAGTAAAAAAATCAGGGAAGGGTGTTTTTTAGTGATTCAAGGAGGGCCGGGAGGTCATCATAGTGTTTGCAAGGGACCTGATTTGTAGTTAAGTATGAAGACTTTTATCTTGTTTAGGATAGTTTTGGCTTGGAGCTGGTAGTAAAGGGAGTTACTTTCCAATGGTTTTTTATTGTGTGTCAGATTTTGTGGTTTTAGATCAGGGGCAACGGATCAATCACTTCTAGGTTTAAATTTTGGTTATTTTTATCCCCAGTTGTGTGTTGATTTTTGTACTGATATCTGTAGTGGTGGGAAAATTTGGACAAGTATATACATAGCATTTTTTTCATGTAGGTATAGTCCATTTTCACATAAAAAAATTGGGGTTTCTATGGTGGGCTGGAATGACTAAAGTACAACTAGGGAAAAACTAAAAATATAAAAAACAAATTAAAAAAGCCAAGACTCTCACTTGTAATTCACTAAGGGCAAATGTAAAGATTTTAAAGCATGTATTGAGCTAGAACGAGGTATAGTACAATAGGTTTAATCTAATAATTAAAAAAAACAAATTAAAAATACCCAGGCCTCACTATAAAACACTATGGTCTAATAAATACTTTGGTATGACTATGATTGAGCTGAATGAGCTAAATACAAGAGTTTTCTATATATAAAAAAGGGACAAACTTCCCGTTGTAATTGCCCTAAGGGGTTATAAAGTTGTTTACAAGAATTTAAATAAACTAGATTTAAATTGACAAGATAAAATAACAAGTTAAGGTGCAAAAGAATAAAAAAAGTAGAAAAAAAATTTGAGGTAGTTGGACTATAGCAAAAAATAGTTAAGGGCCTGAACAATAATATAAATTTATATATACACTAATTTCACCACAAAATGTCCAAGATATGAAAAACAATTTAGAGTGGGTTATAATATAAACTTTTTAAAAAAAAATACAAATTGAAATGTCTTGCAATTGCACAATCTGGATAGGTTGTTTACAAAATCAAGAGAAATAGATTTAAATTACAAAATAAAAATTAAGTTAAAGTACCCAAAAAAAAATAGTAAAAAAACAGGAATGTCTTTTTATAAATTTAGTAAAATGGGAACAGGGAACGGGACAAAGGGAAAAAAATTTTTTAGTTTGAAAATCAAACTTGTTTGACAAAATGAATGGGGAAATAAAAAAAAATTCAAAAGAAAATTTACGGAGTAAAAAAAGGGGAGACCAAGAGGGTGTTAAAGTGCAGTTTTAAAATTTTGTGGTAACATTGCCTCTGGCAAGACAGTGATGGAGTGAATATGATGGAAGTTTTTCTTGTTCGGGCCATCCTGCCTTGGTGGGAAATGGCCGATGTGTTAACAAAAAAATTAAAATAATTCTCTTAAAGCAGTCAGTCCACTTTTTATCTTTCCCCCCCCCCCCCTCTATAAATGCCATATTTTTGTGCTGTGTTTACTTGTAGGAAAAGATTCAGCATGGGACATCATGCAATAGTTAAACATTAAAGTTTTGAAGGGAATTTCTAATATTCTGTTTTTCCTTTTTACAGAGAATGGATATTCCTGAAGGAGCCGTTGTACAGCAGTATAAGAAAAGGGTGAATTTCTTCTGATTGTTTCTGTAGATAAATATACCTAGTAGCATTATTTGCTTAAGTAGTTTTTATTTTTTTTTTACTTTACTGTAAAGTTAATTTTCATTATTTGAGATAGTGGTTGACCTTGGTTATCTCTAAAGAACTGCAGTGAAGCAAATGGTTGCTCTTTTCTTCAGCTGTACTCCACTGCAGTATCACCTGGTGAGCTGTATTATCTTTATTTCAACATTTGTTCTTGCTATGAATATTTTGTAGTTTTGTTTATTTTTCAGTTGCATATGTTTCTTAGGCAACCTTTGTTATTTTCACATGTTATTATCAGTGCAAACTTCACCCAGTGCAGATTGGATAATTCATTATTTTTATTAATAAATTTCACAATCTGTGGTATGACTCCTGGGCTCTAGGACCCACATTCACATTATAATGCTTCTGCACAAACCATTCAAAATAGTGTAAGTAATACTGTAATTATGAAAAATAATGCAAAATGATGAAAAAGTGATCTGAAATTCTTGTTCAATACATATTTAGAAAGAAAGTATATAATAATGAGTTTAGTAAATACAGGTGATTAGTGCATTACTGTCCATTAGGTACAGTATTATGTGGCAACTCAGCGATACGAGACAAAAACAAACTTTGGTACACAACAGGGTATGTGCGTGAGAGAGGTGTACGTCTGTATGTATGTATTCTGTATATAGTTTTATCTCTTCATTAACCACTGCACACATTATTTAACACTCCCCACCTAGCTACATACTCTTCCTCTCCCCTGTTCCTTGAAAATGGCAGCATTACATCAGGTGATAGGTAAATACCACCTCTAGATGAATGCTATCAACAGTTCTACCAAATTGACTGAGTTCAGTGCTGTTTGAGCACAAAAGTCTGCATGCAGTGAGTGCTTGCCTCGGTATCATGGTATGCCAAGTAATTGGTCTCCTGTGCAAAAATATAACATTTATTTCTTTTACTGATGTTAATTGCATGCTCTTCTAAATAAATAAATACATTTCTGAAAAATTAACACAATTATGCGAATGGGCTTTTGTGGCCACTTGGTAATTTAGTACCATGATTCTTGCTCACTACACCCGTAGTGTATCTGAATTACATCACTCATCACTACACTAAATCCTTTTATTGAAAGTTTTAATTTAGCACACCCTACTAGTTCATTGGAGAACTAATAAAAACCCTTGGAATTTAAAAAAAATGCTTGAATCATTTCAGAATGGTTTGAAGACTAGTTTATTAGCTACTGCTGCATCAGAGTTGTGTTACTACCTGACTTAAGTATGGCCTCTAAAGTCTGGTACCTTAATATTTCCACTGGGAACTCTGTGCATCTGTCTAATCTTGTCTAATGGACACTTGTCAAATGCCCTGCATGACTTCATTAATCCAGTCTGTGGATTAGGGCATCATATTGGGATTTAACCCTTAAACTGTCCAAAGGTAGATCTACGTTCACATGTGTAGTGCTCCGACCTTGATTTTCCCCATTTGAAAGCATGTAAAAAAAACGTAGATCTACGTTCGGAGCCCCCCGCACGTGGACGGAGATCTGCGTTGGGACAGTTTAAGGGTTAAGTTATTATTTCAAGGGAATGTATACCCAATTTGCTCGAGTTCATTCATAGGTACAGTGTTTCGCATAGTGTAAAAATTGTATGGATCGGTGTGAAGATCATAACCAAGGAAAGTGAGTGACTTCACAGGATTCATAAACTTGTTATTAACATTACTATTGCTGTAACATCATGATTTAATGTTACCACCCCATAAACCTTGCTAGCACATAAATGCAAACTGCTCTTGGTAGCCCTCTTGGAGCTTAGCTCCTCTACTAGATGTAATGCTGCCACAGCCTGAAGCATATGAAGAGTCCAACTCAGATGGCTTGCATCCACCCCTCACATCACATCTAGTCATTGTGATGCAGTTTCATGTATTGTACATCTCATAAGTAATATTGTACACTATTAGTTTTCTTTCTTTTTATTAATTTGATTTAACTAATTATGAGTATTTTGTTTGTACTTAATGGCTTATTTCAAGTTTCCATTAAAAAAGTATGCTTTGCAAGTGCACTTACAACTCCCACTTAGGAGAGAAACCCTTTGATGATGATTGGCTCTCTCTTGCACCATTGTCAAGTAACATTCAGTTTTGATTTGACAATGATCCAGGATGGGCTTCAATGTCCATGTGGGAGTTGTTTGTGGTAACCAGTTCCAGCCATTATATTGTGACTTTTTTTTCTCTATACTTTGTCAGTATTGTGTTACATAAAGTTTTACAGTAATTTCCAAAGTTCATTTTTTTAAACTTAAGCATTAATTTTTAGTATTTTGTTAGAGGAAATGTACTAGATGAAAAGTCATGAATGGTGGTCAACAGTCTATCTCAGTATCCAAGCTGCCTTGTTGCTGGTGTGCAGTGTTGTTTCTTATGGCATGCGTTAACTTGTAAGGTTTAAAATATTAAATGCATGTCTCTTTAAGGCCTCTGTCTACCTAGACTCAACATAAATTAGATGAGAAATGTAGTTTATACAAATTAATTTTATGCCCATTTTGTGCACGGTATGGTGTCAGCTGCATGGAGGTGAAGTTATGCACTATGGGCAGTTCAGGGTATTGTGGGTAGTGCAGTACAATGTGGGAATGTGCCAAAAATGAGTAAAACAAAAACACACAAACATTCGTATCTTAAGCTATCAGCTGCATTCCTTGGTAGTCACTATTGTATTGTAGTAGTTGTATACAATAACAAGTAGATGAGTAAGACACATGTACAGCAATTTGGTATTTTTATTGACAAGTTGTTTTGCTTGCTCAGCAAGCTTCTTCAGTCAAGTACAGAGACAAGAGAGGTAGTTGTGTAGCTATGAGGTGATCAGGCTCTCAGCCTTGGTATGTGTTCAACTCCATAGGTTTGATCAGGGTCATACTGATGAAAGGTATGAAACTGAGCTTGCACCAAGACTGAAGGACTGACCATCTCAAACATACTTCTTGAAGGTTGAAAGGCTGATCACCTCGTATCTGTCTCTACTGCTGCTCTTGTCTCTACTGTATGTCAGCTGAGTAGTCCTGTTGAGTAGGTGAAATGTCTCATCAGTAAGCATACCATGTTTTTTTTCACAAATCTTACTAAGAGAGATTTTTAAAAATTTGGTTCTAGATGTAATAGATGAAATTATGCTCATAAATAATCTGAATTAAGCCATAGCATCATGATATTGATGAGGCATGATCAGGTTCCTGTTGAGGCAATATATCACACTTTCTCTATTTTGATATTCTATAGTATTCACAGTTCAGATTCACATTTCACTAATTTATGCAGGAAAACAACTTGCAGATTGTGAGGGAGGAGTGTATAGAATATGATAGTCAGTCAAGTACTATATAGATTTTTTTGACCACTTTAGGTAGAGTATGTCTTCAATAGTCTTTAATATAACAAATAAGTAAAACATTTGGGATTAGTTTAGTTATTCTGTCCTCTCATACCAACCTGAGTCCAGGATGTCCCTGCTGATTAATTAGTCACTCACAAATGTTACCTTGGATTGTAGTCTTCAAAGTATTAACATGTTTCTCTAAAAGATATTTCAGTTGTTAGAGAACTTTACAGAAAACTTGTGCTGAAAATTTCATTGGTATACCAGTGCTATTAGGTTATCTTAAATACTCTACTTTGCTGTATTCTGTATACAATAGTTTTCTTCCAATCACAGTAATTGTTGCATTAATTTTTTTCGAGCATTGTTTTTTAAAAATTAAAGCTCTTCAAAACCCTTGTATTGTGTGGTACATTTTGATATTTAGTGAAAAAGCAACACCTGAAGCCCAGTCTCAAAATGCTGTTTTTTTTTTTTTTTTTTCAACAAGTCGGCCGTCTCCCACCGAGGCAGGGTGACCCAAAAAAGAAAGAAAATCCCCAAAAAGAAAATACTTTCATCATCATTCAACACTTTCACCACACTCACACATTATCACTGTTTTTGCAGAGGTGCTCAGAATACAACAGTTTAGAAGCATATACGTATAAAGATACACAACGTATCCCTCCACACTGCCAATATATATATGCTGTTATATTCACCAAATGATAAATAGCCAAGGAGAAAAATAAATATTCAGGCTTTTTTTTTTTTTTTTTTTCAACAAGTTGGTCGTCTCCCACCGAGGCAGGGTGACCCAAAAAAAGAAAGAAAATCCCCAAAAAGAAAATACTTTCATCATCATTCAACACTTTGACCACACTCACACATTATCACTGTTTTTGCAGAGGTGCTCAGAATACAACAGTTTAGAAGCATATACGTATAAAGATACACAACATATCCCTCCAAACTGCCAATATCCCAAACCCCTCCTTTAAAGTGCAGGCATTGTACTTCCCATTTCCAGGACTCAAGTCTGACTATATGAAAATAACCGGTTTCCCTGAATCCCTTCACTAAATATCTTACCCTGCTCACACTCCAACAGATCGTCAGGTCCCAAGTATCATTCGTCTCCATTCACTCCTATCTAACACGCTCATGCACGCTTGCTGGAAGTCCAAGCCCCTCGCCCACAAAACCTTCTTTACCCCCTCTTTCCAACCCTTTCGAGGACGACCCCTACCCCTCTTTCCTTCCCCTATAGATTTATATGCTTTCCATGTCATTCTACTTTGATCCATTCTCTCTAAATGACCAAACCACCTCAACAACCCCTCTTCTGCCCTCTGACTAATGCTTTTATTAACTCCACACCTTCTCCTAATTTCCACACTCCGAATTTTCTGCATAATATTTACACCACACATTGCCCTTAGACAGGACTATGTTGGTTTATTTTAAATATTCTTTGCTTGCCATTATTTTATAATTTATTATTTACACATCTACTGCATAGTGCAAATACTGGAGCTTTAGAACATTAGATGTAGAATTAGATTACCAAAGAAACTATAGTAGATACTGCATACCTGTA